AACGGTTTTTATTGGCTTTTTATTTTAACCTTACAATAACTTAAGGAAACTTTACAGCTTTGAAGATAGGTCACCTGATTTATGAATATCGACATATTTGTTATATTCAGAGGAATTATCTGTTGTAAAAAGTTGAAGTTAGACATAAAATAGGGACGTAAACCATTTAAAGGACTTAGCGTACAAGAAGTAAGTGAAATATGTATTTTGGATTAGAAGCATGAGTGGATTTAAATGAAATGGTTACCTAAAGTATAACAAGTCGTAAGGAGTGCATTGTAATGATAGACGTAATAAGCACTGCTTCAATCGGGGTCAAGTAACAGTTAGAATTAATGTACGAAAGCCTTCGATTATATGACTAACTATTATTTAGACTGAAGTTTTCGTATGTGACACAGCCTTTGTATTGCTCATTGTTTAACTTCACCAGCTTTGTAATATTTATGATGATAAATCATTTCACCAGGTCATTTGTTGCTTCTCTTTCCTACTTACCTAACAAAATCACTAATAGGAGTAGTTAAACATTTGAATTATAAATCCCAGTAATTGAAATCCATGCAAGTTCCGTTTGTTTGCATGTCATCATAAAATATTTATGAGAGGCTGACGCCGATCACCGCCTAGACAGTATTCCTATAAGTGAGAGATACTTGGAATAAATTAGTGAATGACTACATTATTCAACTTTTGGAGTCACATCTTTAGAGAAAAATAAATAAATAAAATGGATTATTGTGCAATCATTGGATTATTTAATAAAATTTATAATATGCGGTTAACACTAAGGTAGTAAATGTTATGACGTTCCAATACTACCAATCTACATCTAATGACCCTAAGTTTAAGTAAAATTACGATTTAAACTGGTGATTGATAGGTAACTAAGTCTAATAATTGTTTTTAAACAGAGGTGGAAGTTAGACAAATGAGGAGTACTAGAAAGGTGGTAAGATCGATAGACCTTAAATTTTGCAAAATAAAGTTTTGAGATCTCACACTAGTATATATATATCACCAAATCAAAACTAATCAAAGCACACAAAGAAAGCTTTAGAATTCTTCTAGTCGCAAAAAAAAGTAATTGAGTGGACTCGATTAGCCTGAATTTCCTGGAAACATTTCGAAAATAGGTGAGAACTAAAGAGTGCTAGCTAACCCTATTCCGAAAAAGAAAAGTTCCTCGTTACTACCGTTTCCATCATCCACAGAGAAAAGCTATGACTACAAAATGCCATGGAAACTATCTCGACATTACTCAGCCATAGTTGTGTCTTACATTTCAACTTCTTAATAGAGACTTCATACCGAGTGTGAACAGATATTCTGGACGAAGTTTTATAGATAGCATCCTGTTTAAAACCTATATAGTAATTGAGAAACAAGTGTAAGGGATCTACTTTGAATAACTGCATTATTTATTTAGTCGGGTTTATTACACACAAATCCGTCTACATAATTTTGGACAAATATATGTACCCAAACGTTGCAAGCATATTTATTCAGCTCTCAACTATGGAGATTTCCATGCAGTTTTAGTCGTATTTCCCTGAGCATTTGGTTACCTAAGAGTATGAGTATGGATTAGTGACTGAGTGGTACAGCAGAAAGAAACATGTAGAAATCATAAGAAAAATGAAAGGAAAACATACGAAATAGACAAATATAAAATTGGAAGGAAGAAAACACAGTAAAAACTTACAGTAAATTGCTTATCACTGTTTCGACTATGCGGACTATTTGAAGTAACTGAATCTACAGGATTAGAACGATTCGTCAACTCGTTACAAGTCTGATTCACTCTTTCCGGTCGATGATTCTCGTCAGTTGTCGTTGATGACGACAGATTAAAGCAGGCTAATTTCTGTTCATTTGAGGAATGAATTAATTCTGTAGTTGAATGAGAAGTAGTGTCAGATAGATTTATGTCTCGGTCTTCCAAGCTTGGCCATGCAAAATTTTGGACTGGTTTTGATGATTCACGATTATTACTATTATTATTATTATTATTGTTTTGACGTTGATTATTCGAATTGAGCTGCAATGGCTCCAAAGCTAATAAACTATTCTCTGATTTCTCATCTGAATCTGTTGTAGTTCTTAAAATATCCGGTGTATCAGATCGATTTCGACGGCTTATTTTAAAAATAACATAATCCGAAACAGACTAAAACAAGAAGTGATTAATAAAATAACAAGAAAAAATATATAATCGGGAGAAAAGAAAGGTAATTTTTCAATAGCTGAATATAATCAATGTGAATAACAATAAGTTTAGCTCATGTTTTTATTCGAAATTGGACGATTTTACACATTACAAGTGAGGGTATAACTTTGAATGAAAAGTGATTTTTAACTGATAGACGAGAGAAAAGTGAGATCATAATGTGAAGCCTGATAGTATTTCAGAAAATAAAACAAAACGAGCAGTTTACAGTTTGGGGTGTGAAGAGAAAAATAGTTGTTTCAAAACAAGTATTGCTAAAACTAAACCACGTGTACAAGGATTTAACTAGGAGCTCAAAGAGTATTATTTAAACATGTCGCAGTGAATCTGAGCCAAGAGAGTTCCGTTTACGATCTGAATAAATCGGAATAAAATCTACGAAATTCAGCAAAGATTTGAAATAAAAGTTTAGTAAGACTTCTATGCAAATATTGATAATATGATAATAAACTAAATAGTTGATTACCTTTAAAAAGTTGAACAAATAAATCATGGTGGAAGTCAAGTCACCGAAAAAATTTCGGTTACGAGACCAAAACTTCGTTAGTATGTAATGAATGCTACGGAGATTTTTACATTTTCAATAAAGATAAAGGATTAATGAAGTAACTAGGATGTACTGTATTCGTAGACTAATCCTACCAAATGAAGATTTTTAGTTAAGACAGATAACTTATTGTAGCAAACGCTGATGTTATGTAGGACGATCAAGAAAGTTATGCAGTTGAACCATCTAACTCAGAGAACATAATAACAACAAACTACTTATTTGTTGATCGCCAACGGAGATTCATTGTATTGTATAGATGAGAACCACTAATTATAACTCTGTTACGTTTGAATCCATCAGAAAAGTTGACAGATCACCATTGACTGATATATTTAAAAGATACTTTATTAACATTCTAATATTCTACCCAGTTACTCATTTATGGGTTATTATATGATAATAAAAATTGAAGTGAAATCTATCTCATTTTCTGTGTGTTGGGACAAAAGCTGTTAATCAGATTGGAGAGTCATATGACGGGTTGGTAATAGATAAACGATTACTTTATTACCATGATTACAATGTAAGGGATGTATATAGGAATATAGATATTTATAGTAAGATATGTGTAAATTATTTAAATAGGCCTTGAGTTTGTGGACTATATTTTAATTTGGTGTCATGTACTTAAAGTGATAAATATATATTAGGCACGTATACATTCATTTGAATAAAATGTTAAACAATACATGAACTACCGAAAAAAATACTGAAATTATTCGTACATGATTTACTGGTTTCAAATCAATTCACTCTAATCTCTGTTATTAATAGAATGGTTACAAAATAAAAGCTATAATAGGAAAGTGAAGATGACAAAAACTAACGAACTTGACAAAATGTTTTTAAATACACCTGACATGTATACACGACTGAAAGTCCTTGGTACTGATTGTAAGGACTAATATTTTTCCAATGTTGATATTCAAACTTAATTGATCTCGGTTAGCACAGATGGGACTCCAATGAATACTTCAACGTCCTTTACAGTTACAAATTTATTATATTTTGGATAGTATATTTAGCTGACAATGCCCGAATTAAGATGGAAAAAAGAGTTCTGGATTTAACTATTAGTCATTATGATGTCAATAGAGAAGTAAAGAAACCATGACGAACGACGGAAGCTAGTTTTGCGAATACTATTTCGCTTAAGTCAAAGTTTGTGAAATACTAATGTTTAGTTTGTTCTATCCTTAATCTTCACTAATGATCACCTTATGGTGTCAATAGCCCGAAAATACACTACTATATCATGTTTGTTTAGAATCTTGTTCTGATGTTACACTATGGGGTGACCACGGTAGACTTCCAATCTTTCGGTACATACTCAAATTTAGTTTTTCTTTCATCTCTGATAATCTTCAAAAACTCTTTAGGTTAATTGTTAGCCTTAGGCATAGACGGAATTCCATTGAATTCAAACTGTTGGTCTTCCTTATCTGTAATGAGATTAATATTCCTGTTAATTCGACTTTTTACCGCTGTGACTTTCGTACAATACGCATGAGCCGAACTATAATCTAAGTATCTTTCAGAATGTGTTGATTTCCCGAATACATTTATTTTCAACTTATTGTAATTATGTCTTCGTTCAATTATACAATCGAGAAACGCTAGTTTGTGTCTATTGCACTCTATTTCCTTTGTCAGATTAATGCTCTCCGAAATGCTGTTCACATTTTCAAACACTTTGTAAACTATTCCGTTTAATGATATTTAAAATGTCATCTACATACCGTGGATTTACACATCTTGTGATTGCACCGGTTTCTAGGGAATGCAATTGGAGAAACTAGTGAACCCATTGCTACACCTTTTTGTATGTAAAGTTCTCTAAATGTGAATAACGTGAATCGTAAACACTATTCCAAACACTTGATAACTTCGGATGGATCTAACGGGGATCGTAAATTAAAATATGAGTCAGATTCGAAATAATCATAAATAATATCCAATACTCTATTGATGAATACATTAGTAAATAAGGAAGAAACATCAAAACTTGGCATCATTTCATCCTCTTCTATGTGGATGGTGTCGATATTATTCTTAAATTCAGTGGAGTTTTTAATTTCATGATTAATCAATTTGTCATACGGTTTGAGTACCTTAGCTAGGTAGATCTTCGGATTATATGATGGTGAATTTGTAGGATCAACCGCTGGTTTTTGTGGAGTATTATTCATGTGAATCTTTGGTAGTCTATATAATCTACAAGGATTACAACATTTTGGATGTAATATGAACCATAATGACTAGGATTCTGCTAGTTTTAGCCTTAAGTTTATTAGGCGTAGTTCGACCTTAATTAATTCATACAGGCCATCTTGAAGATGTTCCCTGGCTTTTTTCTCGTAGTCTGACTTGTTTATAGTAACAGTCGTGTTCCCTTTATCTGCTCTCGTAATGATAATTGCCTTATTATTTTTCAGCTGTTTTAATGCATATAATTCATTTTTAGTGAGATTAGAATTGTGTGGTTTTTGATGTAATAAAGTGGCCGCTATTTTATTCCGCAAATCATTCGCTGTTTCATTAAGAAGGAAATTCAAGCTTTCTGATGATTTATTGCCTACACTATATTCATAAAATGTACAAGACATTGTGAGCAGAGCTTGACAGTCCTATATTTATTTACACTAATTGACTTACAAGAATGAGAATTATAGAAGCTTGCAAATATTATTTAGAATAATATGTTTAAAGTGTTTTGTCAATAGAAAATTGTCGACTTAATGGACAAATGTCTATTGATCAGTTGTTTTTCATTTCTGCCTTTGTCAAGTAAGTTTTCAGGACTACTAGTGGGTTCTAATCTATCATATGTGTTTGTATTAAGCATGACAATAAATGAGCTTTAGAATATTGTTATAATAATAATAATAATAACAATAATAATAAGCCTTCTTAAAATTAGTTATACAAGTGGCATGATAATATTTCTATAGTAATCTTGTTAGAAATTAAAATACGAGATTTGAAAACTTCCTAATGAACATAATAATAATAATCCAAAATAACACTATAACAATTTTGCATACATTAATTATTTGAGCTGCTTGTTCTTGTGTCCCATTCTCTAAATCGATTCCGTTAATTTCTAATATACGGTCATCTTTTTTTATTCTCCCATCAAGATCAGCTTCACAACCAGCGACAAGTTCCAGTACGTATAGTCCTGGTAAATGTCTAATCATGAAGAAAAAGAATACTTATTTTAACATAACAGTAAAACATTTGTTAATGGAGTAGTATATATATTCCAACAAAAACCACAGTGGATAAAATGAAATTTCCACCCCAGTAGTTAGATATAATAATAATAATAATAATAATAATAATAATAATAAATATTAGATACGGGTACATAATTGGAAAAGAAGGGACTTTAAAGATGATTCCACGGTAGAATAATATGCACATAAATGTGGTGTATGCTACTTATGTCAGTCGACACATGTAGTATGTAACAACAATCAAAAGTTGAATGCCTGGCAGCAGGAGGTTGAGAAGGTAGAATCGAAGAGAACGGGAATGTAAACAGAGTAATCGTAATAGCAATGAAAGAACGATGGAATTTGAGACAACTGATGGAAGATTTGCAAATGAAGTATTTCATGTATAGTTTTTTCACATATTACGAAAAATCTCGGTAAGTTTGCATCGAATAATAAATTGGATATCCCCGCCAAGTCTTCGTTTTTTACTGCATATACTTTGAATATTCTGTTAACAGTAACCTTGTGTTCTAGGCTTTCACTTAACTCATTAACTGATGATATATTTTTTATCATTCATGAATTTTCTCCTTATTACTCTGAACTGTGGAAATAATTTAAAATGGTTATTATTCAGCTTGTTTTCGATTCAGTCAGCTGGGCAGTAGCATAATTAGTTTTCAGATTAAAAAAAGTATGACCAAAATCCGAGTACGTAAATATGTACTTGGATATTGATTTACATTATAACGTGACAGTAACTAGTAGTAATGTATACAAAATAAATAAACACACCTCATTTGATTATTGAATTTGTTTAAAGTTACAGCTGATAGTAAACTAACTTAGTTTTTAGAAATAAAGTACTGAATATCATGCACAGAATCTTAAAGGAAATAAAGATTCAGTCAGCCAACACAAATGTATATCAGTTTCACCTTTCACACCTCAAATAAGCAAGTACATGGAGCAAATTAACAAGAACAATAAAAAAATGAAGTTAACAATATTACCAATAGTGAATTAATGAACTAAATATAATACAGCTTATGTGCAATAAGTGAGATTGAGAATCAAGGATATTACCCACTTCAAGAGTTAGACATAGATATAAAGTAGGAATGCAACTGGCCTACACTGTTACATTCTGAGCCATGTAACCTAGTCAGTCGGTCAGTCATGTGCAACGTAGAACCTAGCACAGTGTGTCGGTTCTGTTTGTTATACCATATTATTAAGGTAACATAAAACTATCAAGACAAATCCGGGAGTAGTAGAAGTAGTATTAGTATTAGTAGTAGCAGTAGTAGTAGAAAAGATTAGGTATAAGAAGAGGTAAGAAATCTATAAGGGGATTTTACGACTTACTTACTAAGGGGGAGGGGTAACGGATGATTGCATCGGAGCCAATGTGAACGATTCTAAGACATGTCACCCGAGGTCTCTAGCGATGCCAGTAAGGGTTTTATTCGTTTATAAATTACAAATATCTCGTTGACTATTACAAGATACAGTTTATTTCAGTAGTCGAAAACTTCATGATTTGGTTATATATATAACCTAGGATACTCTTTTGTCTTTTTCCAATCCGCTTGCAGAGCAGCTGGCATCGCAAGTCAGTTGGGGAAAACAAAGCATATTCTCAATGCTTAGTCTTTTTCATAATCATTTCTAAAACATTAATTCAATCCTTTTTGTTATTATCATGTTAATTTTATCTTGTCATGCAAAATTAGTGATAAGGCAACTTAGATTAATGCATGTTTGTGATAGGATCTACGTTGGTGATGACTGACCAAATTAAAAAAGAACGATACGTAGGTAACAATAACTTGGACTAACTAATAATAACACTTATTTGAAAAATTGGCATCAACAATGTAAACACTTATGATGTATTTAATCAAGAATAAACGAAAAAACGTAGTTATTCGATTGTTACTGTTATGGATGTTACAAGAAGTATACAAATTTGTGAAGAAGACACAATTAGGACAATGAAATTAAAGCTAAGTATGTAAACAAATCAAAGCATATATGTTAAAATAGTTGGAAAACTTATCGTGACGCCGTTAAATCATATCAGGCATTGAAATGGGTTAATAAATTACAAAACTATATGTTTAAGAATTAATTCATATGTGCACAACTTTTTTTCAAAGAATTTTAATAACGTATAATAAATAATCAAATTTACCGATTACGTAATAGAATTTAGCTTCAATATCAAAGCAAACCATCAATATGAAAGGTTTTCTGGCGTTACATTAAAGCCTACATTTAAATAGGTAGTAAATTCCAAAGTAGCTAATTTATTAGTTTTAGTAAAGACTAAAAAAAACAACTAACGAAGTACCCTTTCTCTCTTAATAGGTGGAATAAAATGATGGTAGAGTACAACATTCAATATCATGTATCTGGCTGACAGAATACGCAAAGCATTATTGTTTACACAGATATGAGGTTATTCATTTGTTTGAACTGTGGGTAGCAGCGGAATTCATGACGTAAGTTTCACTCTATTTGGGACTTTTCAGATGGATGTGCTTCCATCTTTGTGTTAATGTTAACACACTGAAATTTAAAATCAGCACCTATCAATTAAAACGTCAATGCGCTTAATAATTCCCACTGTTAGCCACGATCTAAACGTACTAAAACCTAATGACTAACTTGCAATATCGAAGCAATCTTCGCCGAATGAATGTATTTCAACACAGACTGATTAAAAAGTCCTAAATATAAACTATGAGAAAATATAGACTTTTACTAAGACACGAATTACATTCAAATAGAATCAAGAATACATCAATTGATCAATCAACTTGAACTTAATAATATAAAACGTTATTACGATTTAAGAGAGAAAATCCGTGTAATACAAGATTATGATGGCAATTTGTATTGTTAAGTTAAACAGTAGTTTACATTTAAATCCAAGTAATCTGTACTATTAACGTTTTAACCTATATGACTGTTAATTGAAATTAAAATTTAAAACTACCGATTCTAAAAGTGTTTTTTTTTAAATGAGATTATTTTCACTACTTCCATCCAAGGGGAATACAATAACAATATTACTATTTAAAAGGAAAATTTATTATTTTTATTATTTTTAATAGTTGAATCGAAATATTTAAGTCACTGAAACATAAGAATTGGAATTCTTGTATCTACACTAAAAGAGTTAATTTCCAGGTACAAAATTAATCGAAATTTCAAATCAACAACGAATTTTACACACGAAATGTAGTTAGCTGATTTGTGTGAAGATGCATTCGATCGGAAAATAATTTTTTACCATACGCTGTCATAGGGTGGATAAACAGAGGAGATCGAGACCATGTAACCTTTTCATCCAAGCCTCAGACTCATCAGTAGTGCTATTCTATGGTCTTATATGACAAGATGAAACATGAGACCTTCAGATCTGGTAGAGAGCATTAAACCATTGGAAAACGAAGCCAGGATCCAATGGTTCACATATTTCAACATTAATCAATACTGTCATCAGCATCCCATTCCATATTTAAAATTAATTAGGGTGAGATATATCGACTACATTTGTGCTAATTAGAAAGACTGTGGGGTTCTTCTTGTCTCCATTTTGATACTAGTTAAACGATACGTGGCGCATGGAAAGTGTGGAAATGACAAATGAACAGTCTCTGGCAAACTAAATTTCCATAAAAAACCTCCCGCGAAATTTATCTTGCATGAGTAATCATCAAACGAATGGTGAAATATACAAACATTTTCTTGTCCACCTCTTTTTTACTGCTACGAATACCATATAATACGAAAAATGTCAATTATGGAATGTTCCAAACACACACTATCTCCCTAATCAATAATTTGACAAGTCGCACGGACTTCTTGATATTACAAGCTCCAAACAATGTATTTTACCGTGTAACCAAAAAACACTCTTAAATAACCACTGTATCGAATATACGTATATTTAACATGAATCACTCACTTTTTTCCGACAAGTTTAATTCCAAGAACTTTCCCTTGACGTTTGCATAATTTAACGTAAAATATTTCTTTTTATCGAGACGCATATAGTATATATTGAACAAAGAAAAATATACAACACAAAGTTACATAATGTATGTTCTACGTTAGTATTGTAAGGATAACAGAGGAAGTTATATATATATATATATATATGGGAATTTTCATATGAATAAGTGTTTTGCTTTCTGTGGACAAAAAACAACATACTAATGATCATTAACTAACAAGAGAAATAAAGTGAAAACATGAAGTGAAACAGTACTAGTGTCATTGCTAATATTATTATTATTACTATTGATACATAGAACAAAAGAAACTTGAAAAACAGTTGCTGTAGTGTAATACATATATGCACGTTGTTAAATATGAATAGACACAGCATATATATATGCGGTTGGCGACAATTATTAAGAAAATCTGGATATAAGGTTTAGTTGGAACATGCCAACCAATACGTTTCCGAGTTCTGTGGTCAGCTGGTAATTCATATGCAAGCAATAATAGTAGAATGAAACTCAGTAATATAATACACGTTTGTGTAT